ATGAAACACCCCTTGTTTGGTATATTTGTTTCTGTTTATCTGCAGGTGAAAGCCTTAATGAAAGGGATCATTTGGGCTAGAAAATGAGACCGTCGATGGTCAAGTATGTGAATCTTTGCATCCCACTCAGAAAGAGAATTCGCGATTCTCAGGTCGATCTACAATCCAGAGTTTAAGGACGGCCCAAGGCTTCATGTTTGAAAGAGATGAAAAAGAGGAGTTGACACTTTTTCCTGAGGAAGACTTGTGCTCTTGGACCTGCAATTCCGAGATCATAGGATGTCCATCCCAATGTAATTATATGATTTCCCGGAGCTTTACTGTACCCTGCTTGACTGTGCCAGAGAAGTCATGGTCATGTCCATGTCGAAGAGCACCTGACTTGTTTCGGGTCACAATATTTCGCCCCGAATTCCAGCGAACCAGATGCTGCACGTCATGAACTGCCCTGGATGAGAACGAATCTTTCGATCGATTGGGTTCTTCGGTCCGTTTTCCGGTCGTTGGGTGCTGAAGGGGAGACCGACCCGTTCGTCGAAACGCCCGGCGATTCACTGCTTCCTTCTGTGGTCTTCAACTCAACTGTAACTATAGTACCTGTACTCAATGAATATGGGAAGAAGACACCTGCCTACTGCAACATGCGACTGTACTCGCAACATGGGCCACCAACGCATTCCGGATGCTAATATGCAGTCTAGCGAGATGACTTATAGTTATATATACATGCCAGCACGTTTCGGGTAACATGGTTGTACTGTATCAAGCTCTATACTTCGAAAAAGACCTGAAAATCCGATTACACCAAAAATGTATTCAGAAGCCATAGACCCTATGCCTCCCTGTTTTCAGGAGCTCGCACAAAAGAGAAGAGGAATAGAATAGATCAAAGAACACCACCCAGCACTGGAGTTCGGGTGGTAAAGAGTAAACAAGCCACCCCAGACGAGGTGCTGGGTATCTCCACCCTGACGACGAATTTAAAACAACAACACCCGAGGTCCGAGGTGGTTTCAATATGTTTTTTTATCTCCAGTGCTGGGTGGTGTTCTTTGATCCATTCTATTCCTCTTCTCTGGTTTTTCGCACCCAAACCACAGCGCCCTACCACTCACCCCACTCACCTCCAGGACTGGTCCGTCCCCTTGGGCCGCCGCTTCCGGGCCTTGAGCACCTCGGGTGTCACCGCTGACGCGTCTGAGTCGCCGGCCATGGGGGTCGCCGCTGAGCGAGTCGATGGCACTTCTCCATGGAGATGGTTCAAGGGGAGTTCAGGGTTCCTGGAGGGTGGTGAAGGCGGTTTTCCTCCTGAAAGGCTTTGTTTCCTCCCCAATTGAAAGCTTCGAGTGTGAAGAAGCAGAGTTGGGTTGGCCGACGACGAGTGCTGGCTGATGTCGGGTTTCGGTGGTTGGGGTTGGTGTCAGGGGGTCAAAAGAACTTCTGAGAATGTGGCTCTAGAAAACCTAGGCATCGTTCGGGCATGTCGTGCAGTTCGCTCCTTTTCGAAGGCATCCACATTTCATCAGTCACGATGGTTAGCCTGCCTTTCACGCCCACTTGCTCTCCCTATTCTTGAATTCCGTAGCTGCGTCATACCCACAGGGGAAACGGTGGCCATGCCTTTTGTCATTGGAGGTTGGATAGTGTAGCAGCTTCAAAAAGGTCAGAGCTCGGGCCTGCCAGTGATGGGCTCTATGCTTCAAGGCAAAATCGGCAGCACCGAAATTGAAAGGGCAACCAGGGTGACTAGATGCCATGGGATTGCGGGGTCATTGCTTTCAAAAATGGAAAGGAAGAAATCATTTCATGAGAACCAGGATCTTCACAAGATGAGTTCACTAAGGTTTGTAAAAGGGCATTTAGGTCACTTTCAAGCTCCTGGTACGGACAAAAAGGAAAACATTATTAAACAGTTTTTGAAGATGGAGGCAAGAACACCAATGCTGAGCTCAAAAACACACCACACCCCTCCCATTTGCGAGTTTGTCATGTTTGACCGCTTTGTATAAGACAATCCATCCCAAGCTCAAACGAACTGTTTCGTTCATGAGTAAGCCTCCAGCCCTGCAACATGAATATCAACCCATCCTGGTTTGGGGGCTGGCCAGTGAGTCTGTCGGCAGCCCAGGAATATGGATGGTCTTCGAGTACTTCGGGACTTCTGGCATCCGCTCATACATTCAGCAGGCCATTGATCAGGCGGGGCATGGTGATAGGTCAGTTTTATAAGATGTTATACTGTGAGATACTGTAATTAGTATCTTGCGTTGTTCACTAATGCTTGGTGAAGCTTAGTACTACTTGGTGCATTGTTCAGAAATATTTCTTGATTTGAATACCTCCAGCTTCCATCATTGGGGCCAATTTGAATGTTCATCCGAAAGATCCGATCTTGTCAAGAAACTTAATGAATTTGGGATGTTTGGAGACAGCGCGCCACCAATGTATGGAGGGAGATTGTGAAATGCGCTCATTCATGCACTCACTCCCACTGCACATAATGCTACCCCACCTTTTCGTCGTCGCCTTGTGAGGCCAACTGGCTGCGGGAGCGCATCGAGGAGGAGCCAAAGGGACTCTTCGAGCAGCCGGTGACCACCAAGTTCGGCTTAGCGCCTGGCAGGAAGGGAGTAACTCCAAGAGAGGAAGGGACTGCAGATGGTTAACCGGTAGGGATAGAATCTATAGGATCCCTGGGAGTCTCCTGACTTATTCACCCCCTAGCTAGCTTTCGTTCACCCCCTCTGGCCTCAAGTGGAGTAGTTTGAGTGAAGGAACTTGCAACTCGGAGGTTGGACTCCCTAGTCGTTTGGACATGGAAGTGACTCCGACAGTTGGATCAGCTTCCGACACAGCCCACGACGCCACTGGTGTTAGGGCACCGGCTGGGGCACCCGAATGGAGACTCCACAGAGAATCACAGAAAGCGGTGCCCGATGGCTTTGTATTGAGTAGTGAGCTTGAACTGTTATAATATCAATGTTCCGAATGGATGTTCTGAATGATTCTTGTTCGTCAGGTGGCTGATGTGACGAACATTGGATGAACAAGCGGGATTGCTCAGGAACCACTGGCAAAGGCTCAATCCATAATAAGACTCGTCAACGACATCAGGCTCTGTAAAGTTTATCTCAGTGGGTTTCGGGTTGGTCACCACTGTTCAGGCACTTGTTCCATGTCCAGTTCCTGGTCTGGGTGCTTTGGGTGTGCCGAGGTCTGCGTGCGCTGCCCGAGCGACGAAGCCACTTTGGGCCTTGCAAGCCGACTGTGCCTTGAACAATGTAGTGAACAATGTAGTGAAACTGAATGTGTGAAACCAATTGTGCCATGTCGGTTTGTCAGGAACATTGAAAGATTTGTTGGGGCTGCTGGTTATTGGAGCACCATGCCTTGAAGAACCCTACAGAACCCCAATATAGCTTATCCCACGATATAAATATACCACTATATATGTACCATATAGGGTACCACAAGGTCTCCCAACCTCTCTTGAAACGGATGCCGTGCTAGACAGACGAGCGGAGTCTCCGTACCCCGGTCGTTCCGTCGCTTGCGCCGTTCTCCGTTTGGGCACGTATCGTTTAGCATGTTGTATTCTATGTAGTATCTCTCATAAGATGTCTCTAAATAACACATAAATATACAGTTATTTTATCTAAATATTAAATTATATAGCCATAGACATCCATAGACCATAGACCAGACAGTAGTTTCTCCCTATCCTCCTACATGTTTGCTCGGTTCCAACCCCCAGGAGTGAGCTGGGCTACGGCATTGCCCCTTCCAAGATCTGCGATCGTGACGCCTTGCGCATCGCTTTGGGCTCCACAGCCACCACCCAGGCTGGGTCGGTGCCCAGGGCATGGGCCTAACCGGGCCAGGTGAACAACCGAAGATGGTGTTTTTTTGCAGGTTTAGGCATTGTGCATCGCAACTGTAGCAGACAAAATCACGATAACAGACCATCCCCTTGGTTGTTCATTGAGTTTGGTTGTGCTTTCATCGAGTAGTCAGTATCCTACAATACCCCAAACAATCCATCTATATATGTTATAGTATTTAGTTTACTTCCACTTATATACATTGAACTACTGTAGGCAAGCATATTTCATTGATGGATTGGTTGGGTAACGCGTTAAGGTGAGGCTCAGCGCCTCTTGCACGCATCACCTGAGAGAGAGAGAGAGAGACTATGACATGCAAACAAACTATGGCAAGACCAACATATGTTGTTAATGCTCAAGTCACTTGTTCCCTTTAGCAGTTTCTTTCCGAGCCAAGGAGATGCGGCCATGGACTCGGGCCGTGGATCGAAACCATTGACAGTAGACCATTTACAGTTATGCTTCTGTTCATCATGACCGAGCTAAACCGAAGGTGTTTTACATCACCAATCTTATCATGACCACGGTCTCGTCATCCTTCACCAGCGCATCGCCTGGGCATGTTGTTGAGCCATCCCTTGCTTAAGCAAGTTGTTTGGGGAAAAGGGAGCATGTTCTTTTGTTCAGCACCTTCTCATGTCGTTGTGTCAACATTGTCAGGTTTTCATTCATAACAGTGGCATTGTTTCAACACCACATATATTTGTTTCCTGAAATCATGCTCTCCAGGAGCAAATTCAAGAAGTTGCCAGCATACATGGTGTTTGATGAATCCTGCTCTCACACAAGGATCTTCATCGGATAAATCCTGATGAACGCCAGGCCCTTGCCTGATTATAACATGCACCACCCTCCACATGGCCGAAGCGGCGCCAAAGGGGCCTTGACTCTCACGCTCTCTCTCTCTCTCACACTGCACTATATACTCACTAGTGTCCTTGTTCCGTTCGCAGCGAACCTTGTTCCTAGTAGTACGGCCAGGAGCCCAGCATCCGACCGCTCCATTCGTAGCGATGCCAGCAGCAGCGTTCGTAGCGTCCTTACACAGCCTGAGTGCCGAGGCCCACGTGGAGCAACTTTGGAAGGACATGTTGGCCTTCGTCCAATGAGCCGAAGATGCGTTCCGCGAGCTACGTCCGAGCTGACGACACTAGGTGCCATAGGACCACAAGGGGTGCCATAGGAGTTGGTCTGAAGCTGTTCAGAGGTTTGGGTGGCGATAAAGTGGCATCAACAGGCATCATCCATGTCCCTTGACTCTTGCTATCTCTTGCTGGCTATTTTCTTTCGCTGGGTTTCTTTTCACAGGCATGAAGTATGTAACCATGTGTGTACTTTAAGAGGGAGTCCCCCTGGCCCTGGCTGGGTAGACTGGTCTATGTTCCAAACCTTCCAGGGCATCTTTGTGAGGTCTCCTTATTCTGAGAGTTTTGTTGAGATGGACAGGAAACATCATGAAACTTCTCATGCAATCTCGTACCGGGTGAGGTCACCTCACTCTGAGCAGGGACAGGACTATTGTTCACCTTTTGAGCCGACCTTGACCATGTCACTGCACCTGGACAGAGCCGACCAACTGAAGAATCGCCCTGCTGTGGTGGGCCGTTCGTCCGTTGGCAACAAGAGACACTCATGACGAGTCATGACAAGTCATGGCGTACTGGCGGAAAAAACAACACGAATCAACAGCGGCCACACTTTGCTGAGTCGATATTGGAATAGCGCACAGGGTCGACCGATGCCGGGTGATTTTGGGTCTCAAGTACTGCTGTGGTCAAGAAGCAAGCTGTAAACGATGTCAACAGAGTGTGGTTTCGAAACTTTGCTGACACCAGGTGTGATGCTTTGTGAAGAGGTCATTCGTCCATGGTTTTTCTCCACAGCGATACATTTATATAGAATGAATGATAATGAATGGACAGTTCCCACGGCACACTTCCCACGTCCCCAGCTCACTTCCCCATGGATCCTTCTGACCTTTGGATCGTTCTGAAGCGACTGATCGGATAGCATCCTGTCTCGATGCTGACATCTCTTGATCGGATCAAGAGAGGCCGGCGATAGGATCACCACCTGTGGATCGGATTGAGAGAAAACAAGAAACCGGTCAAGAGGTGAGATCGATGACTGGTGGCGGATTACGTTCTTGGTATATATCCCATGTTGGTCCGGGTTTTGGGCAGCCGTGGACACTCCAACAACTGCCTTTCAAAGTGTCGTAAATAGGTTCTTTTGGCTGTGAACGCAACAGAGGCCCCAACAGACTGTTGAAATATATTGAAATTAATTCTTGTATCAAATGAAAGACATTTGGATTTTAATTGAGTCCCAGGAAAAACAAGAGTCTGGTGGTCATAAGAATAGAATCGTGATTAAGTAGACTTGAAATCATCTTGGCATAGCCAACACAGTAGGCTGTTGCTGCAGCCTTCCGCTTTCATGGTCCAGTCCGAAGCACAAAGATACGGCATGTTTCTCACACCCATTTGGCATATCATCTAGGCTGTTCAACAATGTGGTGTATACCAACAGCTTGGTATTTGTATATCATAGACCACCTGGAGATCGATCGACACCACCGATGTCGGCCGTTGCGCGCTGAGCACGCTTTCGGACCGTGCCTTGCAGGTGGAGCCCGTGCGCGCTGAGCGCCGTCCGCGAGCGAGCGCAGTGACCGGCGCGGATGTTCATGCCAGGGTTTGGGAAAGTCAAGAGATTTGAAGAGAACCACTTGACATCACAAGACACACAGACACTCAAAGACACAAAACCACTTCACCCTTGACAAGTGTGACAAGTGTTTTTGTTTTGCAAACGCAAGAAGTGTAGTCATTTGAAGAAAGACACTTGACATCACTTGACCATCCGAAGACCTACTTTAAGAATCTTTAAGATGTAGAAAAAGACTCATGTATCTACATTATAGTAATATTACGATCAGAGCCGTCCACATCGGAACAAAAAGAGTGCGGAGCAGGTGTCTAACCAAAGGGGTTGATTGACCAAGTCGATCTGGTGCTGGTGAGGGTCTCAGGCCGTCTCCAAAGAAGGGACAGAAGATTGCCTGGTGCATAGTAAGGAATGAGCCTGCAGATTCAATCTACTAGGAATTTCTAGTGATTTAAGAAGTTTAGTAAATTTTAGTTGTTTTCATCGTTTGGGGAGGTTTCTAGGCGTTCTAGGCGATGTGGTTTGAAGCGATCGATGTTGCGTGATGTTGGTGTGATGTCCCACCCCTCCCATCTGCTGCGCTGCGCTCTTTGCCAACTTCTTTGCCAGCGACTGGTGCAATCCTAGCGCCGCTGGGCCGCAAAGGTTTTGTCAAGTAATCCTTTGTAAAGACCCAAGCAGCGTCGCATGGTCGCGACAGATGCTGCTCCTCCATGGGTGGCTCGGTGAACTCGGGACACCCGTCCTATGAAGTCTTCGTCGCTCCAACATCCACTCACCATCGGTGATACCCTGGATGTTGCAAGCTTTTCTGCGATTTCCCAAAACATATGCAATTTGGGTCTCAATCGATATAGCTTCCATGACTTGGAATAGGATTGCGAGGCTAAGTGAGCGTAGGCATCCTGAGTTGGTGAGACTAAGTATAGATCAACATCGAGCTGGAAGGTCGCAAGGGCAAGGGCTTAACAAAAGAAAGAACCTATAATGCAGGCATGGCTCGCAGAACTCAAAGGCTGCCCTTCTCGCAGTTGCAGAATCTGTGGAAGACAAAAAAGTACCACTTCCATTGAGGATGGTAAAGAACTTGTTCACTGTCCGAACTGCGTAAAGGGCCATCTCAAGCATCTCACAATCGCATGACACCTGCAGAAGCCAAGTGAGCCAAGGTTTCAACTCACTGCCTCTAAAGCCGTATGGTAACTGGTGACTTGGCAACAAATTAGGCACCTGGTGGGTGAGAAAGTCTTCCAAAAAGCGGCAAACAACACCAGTATCATGACCTTTTCCAGCTAGGCTTGTGGGGAACGTACGTGGCCTTAGTTGTTGTAGATTGGATTGCGCGAAACATGTTGCGCAACACAAGTTCTTTCTACATCATGCAAATGAACATTAATTAGACAAGAGTCCCCTTCACGCCCATGGCTTTCTGGGTCCACACATCACACGCTGTGTAGCGCTTCTCTCTCTTGCACCATTGGATGAACGCAGTGTAAGCTGCATCGAGAAAGTGGCTCAACTTATCCCCAAAAGGACTCACAAACTTCTTTTTGTTGGCCAGCAGAACAATTGTCGATGAACAGAAATCAACACCAATGCCAATATGGAAGGTGTGCACAATGTCGGGCATGATGCGCATACATGAGTCTGCACCCGGCACTACCCAAAATGGGTGTCTGCGTTTGAATGGAGACCTTTCTGCAGGTCTTGGCAGTGCCTTCCACGAGGCGCCAGCTGAGAAGTCATACCACTCCTGGCACAGGCTAGTGGGGCTGGAGAGAGTTGGGCTTTTGAGGTGGTACTATGTGGTACTCAGATTGTGTTTGGTTGTTCTTTTTGAGGATCCAGACCTTTGCTTCGCACCAGTGACATAGCCTTTTGGAGGTGAAACCGGTGGCTAAGGCAAATGCCTTGGTTTCTGCAGAAACTGACCGAAATACGGTGCACGCGCACAAGTTGGAAAACCCATATAAGGGCCCAGGGGCTTTTCGAATGTAGGGCCAATCACCTTTGCCCGCGATGAAGATAAACTTGAATCGATGGCCTCCTTTGACCTGCGAAAAGGAATGCATGGTTGTCATACAGGCCTTAGTCTAAACCTTCTTCCCGCCTCTATCCCTGTATAGTGGAGATCACGCATTTCATTGGCCCAGGCCCTGTTTAAGTCTTCAAGAGTTTGTTCTCCATTAAAAAAGCGACTCGTGATGCAGGAGTGCAAGATCCGGGAGCAAAATGAATGCCTCAGCTACCCATGGACGGCAATCTTAAACATATATATGTTCCCAAAATAGACATAATAATGGTCAGCTTCCTACTTTGTTTGGGATCCTTTAAGTGGGATTGTAAAATCAACGCCCAGCAAAGAATTATGTGCAAGCAATGGGGCCCGCTTGTGTTGGTTTTGGCCAGGCCCTTCCATGACAGCACCGGTTGCCATGCTTGTACCATAAATGGTTGTCGCCGAAGGCCACGGCCCTCGTCTCCGTGTATCATGTACGGTATAGCTGTCTCAAGATCAGTTCCATCAGTGAAGACTGGATGATTCGGGTCACATTGTTGAAAGGTGCCCCAAAAAAATCGCAAGAGTGAACGCCACTTGCTTTCTTGCTCCAGCATGTGCCCTCCAAGCAACACCTGGGGAAACTGTTCCATGAGAAGTGGAATCCAGCTCTTCATCGGAAGAACAGGCCACCAAACACGTTCGATTCTGACTTTCGGCTTTCGAAACCTGATGGTCGTTTGAACTACATCGATAGGAACTTGAAGTGATGCACCAGCTTTGTGGATTGCAACGGTCAGGTTCCTTGTCACATTGGTCTTGCTGTTGGCCGCCGATGCGATCTTGCAAAGAAGATCTCCAGTCCCTTGGCACAAGAGGGGGATGGCTGGGTTTGCTGAGACTGTATTTCACAAGCGCATCATACTATATAGTACGTTTAATTATAGATAGAGCTACGTACATATTACTATATCTACGCCAAGGCGCTGTGGGAGCGATTTGCAAGCGCGATTTGAGCTGTCCTCGTAACTTTTTTGGCTGTCTCTGCCTTGGGTGAGCAGTTATCAATCACATGTTCCACATATATTGAGTTTAGCTTTCCCGAAGTGAAACAAAGTTTTGTCAAGAAACTCCCGAGAAATAGCTTTCTAGAAGCTCCAAGGCATGGGTGTTGTCCAGCTCGGTTTGCTCTCTCTCGCCATCACATCCTCCAACGATAGCTAACTCAGGAAAAAGAGTTAACTCTCCTATATATAGCAAGAAAACCAGCATGCGCAGGATCAGCTTGAACATTTTGGCCCCGCCTCCAACCATAGAGTGCAAGGCAATCCGTGCATCACGACCTGGCAAGTCACACCCAAATTGCCTAACCTCGGTGTACCGCGGTGTACCGCGGTGTAGTTCTTGCAGTGCAGTGGGCTCCAAACACGATGCACATGCACAATTTTTGAGCAGCCCCGAGCATAATTATGTGTCAAATGGTGTGAGCCACTTCTCGGCCACTGGAATCCATATGCTAAGTTTCCATATGGAGCGAGTTCGAAAACGAACTATAGCGAACCCCAAAAGCCAAATCCAGCTACTTACTTCTAGGCCTTAGCCTTAGACTTAGACTTCCTCTTTGGACGAACCTTATCCTTTGCTGCCGGGGCCGATTTGGCCTTTGCAGCAGCGGCTCCATTAGGAGCGGCTCCCTTGGCCTTGGAAGCAGCTTTCGCCTTGGGTGCCGGCTTCAAGGCCCTGCCCAGGAGCAATCAATGAACATATATATTTAAACTTAAACTGAACAAACATCACCCACAAAGAGCCTTGCTCTTGACAAAAGGTTGTTGATTTTGATGTCCTTCCGCGTGCAATTGACAAAGATCTTCCGCAGATCCTCTCTTGAAGCTTCCTTAAAGCCACTTGATGGAATTTGAAAACTATATAAATGTGTTCAGTGTTATGCACATTTTTTCATGCAACCGTGAATCTGAAGGTTCAGCCATTTCGCAGCATTTGTTCTGAAAATCAACCAACTCATCGTACTGCAGTTGGTACTCTTCCTGTGTCT